GGGGGGCAGGGCCTGCCCCCCCTGCCCCCCCCCCCCCCCCCCCCCCGGAGGCTACGGCCCTGCAGTGAAATTATTCCTGGTAAAGCCCGTGTTAGTAATAGGCCTACTGGAAAATATGTACCAAACTCCGTCATTTATATGATTCATTATTTGTCATAAAGCAATTCGTTATTTATAAGTTATGCAGGTAATATCTTCTATCCGCAACGCCCGTATTATTTGCTTTTCGTTTTTTTAACAATTTTCCGCTTTAAAACCCTCTTGTTATATTTTCAGGTTTTGCTACATTGGCGAGGACAAAGGATCTTTGGTGGAGAAAATCGAACACAAATTCTGCCTCCTAGAGCCAACTTGTAGCGTCATACCAGGCTGTAACGCGCACGTGGAAACCATTTGCAAAACCAAGCGCGTCTCCATCCCTATTGCCGGAGTTGGCGCGGAAGAATATTTCGAAAAAATGGCACGTGACGCACCCTACAAAGGGCCTTCTTTTGATCGCGTTTTATTGATGGACTGTATCCAATACTTCGAGAATCCTAGGGAATTTTACGGAAATGTAATGAGGACAGTTTCTGATTTCGGGAAAATTTTGGTCATCCATCGACCCGGATCTATGAATTCTCTGCCGTACCCCCGCGACGCTCTAATCCGTGTTCAAGAAAAGGACCACCCGTACATGCAAATTATTCGGGATCTTCAAAACCACAACTTCGACGTCCAGTGGGAAATAGAAACCCTACCCATTATCATGCCAAAGGTAAAATGGTTGGCTATGATCAGGGACCGTTATCCTAGTCAACTGGAGGCCATCAGTAATTTCGAAGTTTCAGCCGGCATGAGAGAATTGTGCGAAGGATCCCTGAAATACGAGGGAGAAATGATCGAATTCATTGACAGGCTTCTGTTCATCACCGCCAGTAGGAATCTTAGCCAGTCCGGCATGCCCATAGTCAAGAGGTGGGGTAATGTGGGTAAACCCCAGCCAACCCCCACTGGGCAGGCGCTGAACTTAAGGCTGGAAGTGACACCGGATATCGCCCGGTATGTGCAGAAGAAAGATTGGAAGCCGAAAGACGAAAAGCGTTATCCATATTCGGGGAACTGAAAGTGATTAAATACAATATTTATGCATTAAGATGTTAAGTGACGCAAAATTTGGTGGTTTTGAATTCAAATATTTTTTAAAAACATGTATAACAGGTCCGTTTGGTTCATTGAAGAAGACGTCAACGAGTTCTAATTATAGGGTCTATCATTCTGGGGGACTAAAATATTTGCTCATAAATTTATATTTTCAAAAATTATCACCAGACACCCTTTTAGAATTATAACGATGTATTTCATCGTGTATTGTAGTGCAATGATGTCTGCACGAAGCGATAAAAACGTCGATGAAAGTATAAATGATTAATTGCCTATCAAGTGACACTTGCATGTAATGCGCCCCCTTTATTGATTAACTTCATTAATCAACACAGACACAGTGATCGGTAAAGAACGTGTTACCAGGGTCGACTTTGTATCAAAGCGAATATCGAACGAAATATTACACTTTGGGATTTATACAGTACATAAAACGTTGCTTTATTACCACACATCATATTCAAACTCTGATAAATGTATACTGTACAATAAGTCATAAACATTCGCAGTGTGCATGTATGTTTTTGCTGATACTGCTTATTTATACGAAGACTGTGTGATTTACTTATGTAGACCCTTTCACTGATAGAGTTGCACTCTCACCCAGAAGCGGGATAACTTGAGATTTCTATACGAAATGGCGAAACTGGAGTACACATGTTAATCTTCGGATTTTTTTTCAGACGCCTTTGCCTCTATTAAATCAACTTTAGAATTAATTTTACTATCGGCGAATTTGCGTTTATCAGAGAAGTAGTCCTGGATATCTAATACGAGCTGCCTTTAAAATGCCCTTCAGTGACGTCACGTGCAAAAGGTCTAATTACAATTAATCCAGTGCGCTTATCTAGTCAGATTTATCATGTATTCCTAAACTATATTTCTAGTGGTCTTAAGCCTTAGTATTGTAACCACCCCAAAAGAGGTGAATGATTTTATTTCGTTTTTTAAGACAGGTGGAAAGAATATAATTGGATCACGTTTACCTGCATATACGCCCTAGAAAATATGTTGCATTAGCATTACTGGTGATTTATCTATGTACGGCTACCATTCCGACAATCAGGTGATTCATGGTAGATTAATTTATCACTGATGTCTTAATGATGAAAGGACATAAAAAGTGCAATTGCTAAAGAAAATGATTTCCAAAAAAAAAAAAAAAAAAAAAAAAATTATTTTGGATTAATGGTTTAAAATTATGCACTATGCAGGAAAAATGGTGACGATCTCATTTTATCAATGAATTTATAAGGGCTCGGCTAATTAGTGCGACTCTGAGCTTCAAGAACGATTTGCAGTCTCTTATGATCTCTTGAAAGATAATTGTTATGGTATTTTTTGTTTTGAATTTGGAGCTGCTTTTTGAATTTGGAGCTGCTAGTATAAATGAAAGAATATTTTTCTTGGTGATTGAATTTGCTCAGTTTTGTATGCTAATGCGCAATCGCTTGCTTGAAGTATCGAATAAAGTGCAATCTTTCACTTCACAAAATTGTTAAGTGTTTTTTCCTCTAGTATAGGGCCTACAGTACGTGTATGTAGGCCCTATAGGACAAGGGGTAATCATATACAAAACTTATTTTTCCTAATTTAGGCCTATATCTTATTCGCTTAAAAGTAATTAAAAATAATGTGGTTAATGTTGAGCACCGGCGTCGCCTGCTGTGCTTGCTACTACAGAATGGTAACTGTAGCCCTGGCCTATTGGTGCAATGACATAGGCCTACATGCAGGTCTCTAGCAGACATAGATTGAGTATGGGAAGGCCGATCGACGTAATCGCGTACGCGTTGTCTGCCGTTAAAGCAACGACAGAAATGTCGGTTCACTATACAGAAATACTCGACACATATTAGGCCGTGTCGCTTTTGTCGTTTGTTTTCACAATAAATGCCTCTATTCCAAATAACCCGTAGGACAAAAGTTAACACAGCGGTTGTGATAGTTGGGTCACCCTGCCAGGTGACACTCTCGGATTGCGTTCCTCCCACAATGCACCGCTCAGGATGTGGCGTCATGTTGCTAAGGCGTTATTGAGTCGCATTAAAGGTATTGTAAACACTCGCGGACAGCCAGTGTTAACACATTGTCCGGCGTCTTGGCCACAGTAACAGTATCCCGTCCAGAGATATACGAGAGGAGTCCGTCTGTTGACGAAGCTTTCTCGTAAGATCGGCGACAATGGCGCAGCATTATTATGAGAGATTGTAAGTATCAGAATAATTACCTGTATGTTTCTAATTATCAACTCGTTTACCTTTCCCATCGAATATATTAGGTGTCCGCCTCGAATGTACGCCTTTCAGGTCATAACGTTCAAAGTGACTTTTTCTGAGTATCGGAATTACCAACCAGACCACGAACTTTCTATGCAAATCACGGCTATTCAATGCAAATTTATAACCACTCTCAGTGTTAAATAAGAATAATTAGGATTAAAAATCATAGTTTCAGTATGTTTTTAGCCGTGGTGAAGCGGGTCGTGTCGAGGGGGGGGGAGGGGCATTATTAAAAGAAAATTTGATACATAAGAAAATATGCATGCCTATATATATATATATATATATATATATATATATATATATATATATATATATATATATATATATATGATGTCTTATATCTATTGAATTAAAATTATTGGTGTGCAGCTTTGAGTATCAAAATAATAATAGTAATGACAAATAAGAATGAAAAACATGAGCAAAAAAAAAAACTAAATCAGGTCCAGGCCAATAGTCAGTCTCGAATGCCTCTGAAATTCTTAGGAATTGCGATGCATATTTTAAAACACTGAAATAATTCCATTGGGCCTATTAATTTATTCAGACCTGTATTTATTTATTTATTTCATTTCATTTCATTTCATTTTCAGGAGCCACCGCACGCTCAAGCCAAAATACTACACCCCGACAAACAACTACCTGTCAGGCGATGGGAAGAGTGAGGTATACATGGGCGCCGCCTGGTACGTGCCCTCAGAACGCGCCTTCGAGAGCTACCACAAACACGGCCACCTCCCACCGCAGAGACGTGTAGACGCCAAGGAATACGACAATGAAGATGATTGGAGGAAATTCCAGTATCTGCGGGATAGACCTCCAGGTATGGGCTTTCATTAAGTTGCTGTTGAAATGATAAAATCGTACATATGGAAAGTTTAAAAAATGGATAATTCTGGTCACTTTTCAAATATAAGCCTTTGAAGAATCAGATTAGCCTAATATAAAAATGACATAGTAGAACTGAGAACCGCAAATGTAGAGTTTCAAAATAGGTCTAAGTGTCTGACTTGTGTTCCTTTGAAAATAAATTAGCAGAGGATTACAGTTAAACGAATTGAGGACAGATTGAACATTGTGTGCATACTTTCTGAATAGCTCTTTAGGAATATTATGAAGTTGAAACAACTGCTATCATTAATTTTTGCAAAGACTGATTTTCACGATTACATAAAAAAAAAAAAAAAAAAAAAAAAAAAAAAAAAAAAAAAAAAAAAAAAAAAAAAAAAAAAAAAAAAAAAAAAAAAAAAAAAAAAAAAAAAAAAAAAAAAAAAAAAAAAAAAAAAAAAAAAAAAAAAAAAAAAAAAAAAAAAAAAAAAAAAAAAAAAAAAAAAAAAAAAAAAAAAAAAAAAAAAAAAAAAAAAAAAAAAAAAAAAAAAAAAAAAAAAAAAAAAAAAAAAAAAAAAAAAAAAAAAAAAAAAAAAAAAAAAAAAAAAAAAAAAAAAAAAAAAAAAAAAAAAAAAAAAAAAAAAAAAAAAAAAAAAAAAAAAAAAAAAAAAAAAAAAAAAAAAAAAAAAAAAAAAAAAAAAAAAAAAAAAAAAAAAAAAAAAAAAAAAAAAAAAAAAAAAAAAAAAAAAAAAAAAAAAAAAAAAAAAAAAAAAAAAAAAAAAAAAAAAAAAAAAAAAAAAAAAAAAAAAAAAAAAAAAAAAAAAAAAAAAAAAAAAAAAAAAAAAAAAAAAAAAAAAAAAAAAAAAAAAAAAAAAAAAAAAAAAAAAAAAAAAAAAAAAAAAAAAAAAAAAAAAAAAAAAAAAAAAAAAAAAAAAAAAAAAAAAAAAAAAAAAAAAAAAAAAAAAAAAAAAAAAAAAAAAAAAAAAAAAAAAAAAAAAAAAAAAAAAAAAAAAAAAAAAAAAAAAAAAAAAAAAAAAAAAAAAAAAAAAAAAAAAAAAAAAAAAAAAAAAAAAAAAAAAAATTGAATACGAAATAATGTAAAATTTTTCATTCTTTTTCCCTCAGCATATAACAGACACAGAGTGATGAAGATGACCAACACGCCAGAGCTCAGTCTCCATGGTTACTGCACAAACCCATTTAACCTTCATCGTACAGGTGTGCGTGCAAGAACGCTCTATGATCCCAAACCCGACGGTGTTAGCAATCCAATATGGCGCGGTCCACATGGTTACTATGGTTACTACCACGAAAGACTGGATGCTAGGGACACTGGTGGCTTCCGAGTCACGAGACAAATGTATAACGACGAGGATTGGTTAAAATGGGAGCAGCTCCGCACTGTTGATGATCCCAGTAATCTGTTGGGTGTTAGACCCCAGCATGCCCTACCACCACTGAATGTATAAAATGTTGGGACGTGTAATATGAACTCATAGGATGGTGCAGGCGCATTGGGCATTTTTAGTGTCTCTTCCATTTTATTAAATGGGTTCAGGGTTGGGAAACCAGTACTTGTGCCAATTAGAGATTTAATGTTTCAGAAACAAAAGTTGAGCCATTGGTATAATCTGCATAATGAAGTACAGTGTACATGTAAATGTACGTCTCTCAAGCCCTGTGAGTTTTTGAAACTGACAAAACAGAATTTGAAAATGAAAACGAAACATTAAAACACTGGTTTTACTGACATGGTTGGGGCCTTACTACTGTTGGTAGAAAGGCTACGGACTCACATTGCAATTGGCGACTGTTTGGTATGTGTACAATAATGGTCCATTCTCTGATGTACAATAATTCTTTTCTTTACAGAAAAGCGACAAAAAACTATAACAGTGTTGAAATGTATTTTTATTGGTTGTCATTACCTTTTTAGTTGCTGCTCTTGGTGCCTTTAAGCGACGCTATTCAGACATGTTTTAGAGGCAAAGTAAAATTTGCTCAACCAAAGAAATGTTTTTTTGTGTGCTTTCTCATTTACTTTGGTATACATTTTTCAATTAACAAACATATGTAAGTGAATAAATATTTTGTTTATAAAAACATGTATACGATTTTGTGTAACTGCAGTTTATGTAATCCATGTATTTGAGTTATTTAGATAAAAAACCCTCTATATCATAGCGGTCTTTGCACGACATACGAAACGTGAATGCGTTGTGTAAATTAACAGTAAGAACGAACGAGACTGGCTATAAACAGCACGTGAGTGTACATCGTACATATACATGACCGTAAGCTGAGACAAATGCTTGAGGGGAAAGTGTTAAAGCCCTATAAATATACAAGCAGGTTATTTGTATGCCTATCGCTGACGTTGACTGAAGGAAAAGTAATAGAAATTTGACGAACTGGGGGAGAGAGAAAGGTTAAACTTTTTTAAATCTCTGCGAGAGGCAGCAAGAAAGGGGTATGCACACCTGCAATTTACGCCCCAGTCATGGTTATCTTATATCATGTATCAAAGACGATGAGATTTTCCCTTGCAAAGCTCGCGATAAACGATTGAGATAAGTCACACGTGCGGCACTCTCACGATTGCTTAACACATTAACTCACACACTGACACACATACACAGTAACCCAAAGGACCCAGGGGTGGATATATCTTATTTAAAGACGCCAAGATGCTGCTGGTTTTATTGTTTTCCGTGCTAAATTGTCTTAATCTGGCGGTCAGAGGTAAGCTGCTGTCTGAACTCGCGTGTACTGGTGCGTGACGGGCGGGAGAAGGGTACTGTAGGTTCCCGTTCAAAAATTCACAACCAGTCCAGCTTAGCTCATGCATAATTAAAAACAACCATGTACTTTTTATATGAATTTTTTTGGTGATTAAATTTGCTCAACTTTGCATGCTTTCTATTCGTAGCTTTCTCAACAGGTAAACCTACGCATTCTAAATGAAAGCCCATTCAGACGAGACAATTGCATATATCATTACCTATAAACCGATCACGACTGAGAGATATGGCTTAGTTGAGGACAATGGTTTTCTGGATAAAGAACAGAGTTAAAATATGTAAACTTGGGTGGAAAAGTGATAATAAAAGTCTTGTATCGTTGGCTGGGACTGCAGTCGCGTTTACACTGCAGGTAAGATTAGGTAATGTTCATATGACAAATGAACCTTAAGTCTTGCTTATGAGTCTAGAATGTTTGGAAAACTAGATACATAGAGGTATTGAGCATTTTTATCTATTCTTCTGTGACAGGTTGTGCGAAAGCCTTGATATTCCTGTCTTTGAAATGGCTATTTGGCGTTTTTTTGATTGAGGGAAGTAGAACAAGCACGTAAGGAGTTCACATTTAAAAATGGATAGCTGGGTGCCAACCTGCACATAATGTCAAGTGTAATGTACATTGATATTTTGGTTACAATTAAAATTCTGTACAGCAAATCTGAAAATTGTGAATCCTCCCTGTTATCCTAAAGGAAGCGCTGGTTAAATAATGCATTTTCTATTGTTGATCTTTTGGCAATCAGTTTCTCTTCTTTCCTCTTTGCTCCTCGTGAAGCATGAGAAGAGGCACAGTTCGCTCCA